TATTGAAGAGAATATTATTTATTTATTTATGATAATATCCACGGGGATTCCTCCCATTTAAATTGTGAATTTTATCTTACAATTAGTTACAGTAGTTAGCTTATACCTTGTAAGTTGCAATTCATACAATATTACATAATAAATTTTATAATTATCTTCTAATTAGTAGATGGCGGATATATACATTTTATTTTCTCATTAAAATAAATTCTGAAATAATGAAATAATTATAATTTTAAAGCGAATTAAGTAAAGTTAAAATTAGAAAGTAAAATGCGCGGAAAAATTTTGCACTATTTCTCATTCGTTTTATCTTTTTATTAACAAGTGTACCATGAACATTAGTTCTACCTATAAATGTTTAATGTAATAAAACTCAAATAAAATTAATTTTGAAATGAAAAGCGGGTACATAATCGACTTGATCTAATTAACAAGTGCGAAATCCGTAACTATATAAAACAAAAACATTAATTAGATTTATTCGTCTTTTTGTTTTCCTATTTTTTTTTTTTTTATTTTTCAATTGAAAATGCGGTGTTGCAGGTTTATTTTGTTTTCGATAAATTGAGGAAACGACTCGTTCTTGTTCGATGACACAATCAACCTGTACGTATAGATCTATTAACTAATCTTTTTAAACAATTTCCTCGTTCACTTAACTAGATTTATACACCGCTGTTTATTGTACCTTTCTTTTTTCGAAACAGATGCAATAGAACTTGCTGGTACTACAAAAAGTGAAAGCCAGCGTGATTTACAATCGACGAACGAGAGAAATCGAAAAGTTCGATCCACCGATACGTTCTTCACAGAAGAAGAAAGAAAAATTGCAGGAGTAAGTAAACTGAAAACAGTTCTGTTTCTAAGTACATAGAAATATATACTTATATGTATTATCTTTTACGATTTTACAATTGCGTATTTGCCCATTATGATGTAGTATCTACATAAGTACTTACATCGAAGTAAAAATAAATTAATGCACGAATATTATTAATTAAAACTGAAAGTCAAATTATAGCTGTACCACTTACCTGACGTAGTATTTCGTAAATAACCCAAATCAAAATTCACGCATGTATTACTATCATTATTATCTATTTAGCATTGCACATACATGTTGCACTAAATGTAGGTACCTTATAATACATACGTACTTATACCTAAACGACTAATTATACAATGATTTTTCTCCAACGACGGCTTACAATAATAATTAGCGTGACGTAAACAAGAAATAAATGAATAGGAATTAAAAGTCATTCTTATGCTGACATGAATATATTAATTCATTAATTATTCATCGATTTCGTCTCCCTCTCTATTATACAGGATGCATGTAATAGTTTTCGAGATACATACTTATTATCTACCGTTTATTTACTAGTATGACTATTACTAACAATAAAACTGAAGATTCGTATGTCATGTACCCATTTCTAATTATAATTATCTACCGAAAAAAAAAAAACATATTGACGCTTTTATTATTGGTTCAAAATAGAGCAAATAAAGTGAAAAGCTTAATAACATACCACGATTCAAATTTATATTTTTTCATCTTCCAAACATTTCACCCTTTAATACAGAGCATAAGAAAAGCGTTCAGAACGAAACATTAAAACAAAATTCACATTGAAAATATATCTATTAAAAGTTTCGTACTTTTTACTGCTTCTAATTAATGTAATAGATAAATTGAAATAATATACAAAAAAATAGCAAAAAAATAAAATCGTTTTTAATTTCCATTTAAATTATGGTTGTTTCTGTTCTAGAAATACGCTATCCATGATTACCTAATTTTTAAATTACATGTAAAATTATTGTGCGTAAAATATGTAGTTATACTAATCATCAGTTTTGGTGCAAAGGTTGAAGTTTCAAAGTTCAATATTACATTAAAGTGTGCATAGCCACCCAGAATGTGTAAATTGAATGAAAACTCTGAACTTCCTTCTGGTCAATACTCTTGCATTTATTAGCAAAAGGCCAACGTTTCGCTCCCAGATTGGGAACCTTACCAATGCTCTATATGATTACACCAATCAGACCAATTAAAAATTAAGTTGTATATAAAAAGTTATATACATACATTTGCTTGGTTTCACTTATGTACAGTGAAAATCAACATAACTCCTGGCTGAATGTATTTTATAAATAAGCTACCTGATACAAAGATTACCTGTTAGTATATAGATATATATTATAATTTTAATAAAATAAAAATTGTCTAATTTATCCAATAGGATTTCCAATCAGAAAATAAAAATTCAAAAAACGGTCGAATTAATGTCACAGATAGGATCTTAGATTAAGTTAAATAATCACAATTTAAATTACGAACCAATATCACACAAACATGCTAAAAAAGGTTCTATTAAAAACAATTGGAAATTAAAATCACGTTGCTTTAATTGATTTTAACTTTCAAATTCAGTTACATACTGTACAGTATAATTGAAACCAAGCAAATGTAAGTATTACTAATTGTATGTTCCCATATAATCAGGTTTACTAACTTAATTTTGAATTGATTGGTGTAGTCATATAGTGCCTTGATAAAGTTCCCGATCTGGAAGCGAAACGTTGGCCTTTTGCTAATAAGTATAAGAATATATATGTTTCTATGCACCTAATGTGTTTATTTTAACAAATAATATTCTTATTGCTAGAACCCGAAAATTTGGAACGTTAAACAAATTTACAACTTTTTATCATCAAAATACGTATAAAAAAATATTTTGAACGAAAACAATTCTCGCGTGGAATATATACTTTGACAAATTAATACAAATTTTCTTCTGAAACGTATTAGGTACCTAGATTGTAAGTTTAAAAAATATACAAATATTTTATATCCAATGAGATCATACATAAGAGCGACAGAATTTGTTCAAATTTTATGGATAATAGGAGAGCTAATAAATGATTAATTAATTTTTTTTGTAGTGTCTTCTTCAGTGTGTTTATCGAAAAATGAAAGCAGTAAGTACCTATACCTGCACAATTACCTTCATATGTAAATAAATATCGTTTACTTATTTTATTGATAAAATACGTATTTTTTTTACTTATTGATATTTAAACGAAAGGAAGTACATAATGATAGTATGATGACCCCGTGAATTATCATGTTGTGTTGTACTGATCATTAGTAACTTTATAAGTCAATGAATCATTGATAAGTTTTGTCTGTGTGAATTTTTAACTTTTATTTATCGCAAAAAATCGTAATAAACATTTCATTGGTCTCGTTAACAATTATTACGTACGCATATACTCATACATCAGAGAATTCTCAAAAAATAAATGGATTTATCCAATTAGGAGTCAACTTAATTAATAGCTTAGACTAAAATAAAATGACAAACTTTTAATTCAAACAGCCACTTATTCAATGTCAGAGTGTAAAATGTTAAATTAGTTATTAATTTCTCAAAATTCAACACATAGTTGCAAAAAATAAAATTTACCTAGCGCCTCCACCAAATTTCAATAAAACTTTTTTATTTATTTATTATATTGAAAAAAAAACTTATTGAATTCTCTTCATTTACCGATACGTACCTAAATATGCCGTTCCCTAAATAATAGTAAAGGTAAATAGGTAACTGAGAAATTTTTCTACCGTTCAGACATTCTACTTTTCGGTTGAATTCGCTAGTTTAATGGAACAGCAGTTGTTTGTGACCACTGACCAGTAGGTATAGGAATTTTATTAAATTTAGGTAAACGAATTTGGATTTCCCAGGCCAGATGGACTTGTTACGTTATACACAGAAGGTGTTACAGATCCTGAATACATAAAAGGGACATTTCGAGCGGTGAATAGCTGCCTAGCAAACGCAAAAAAGACATATGCAACTACTTTGGAAAGTGTTAAAGGTAAATAACATAAAGTCAATTTTATACGCAGGTACCTAGCAATAGGTAATTACATAAAATATGCAATTATTAATTAGTTATTATCAATCCCAAGTGTTTGATAAAATGTAAGATAACAAGTGCTAAGCATGTAAGTACCTACGTATAGATATATAGGTACCTAATACATGAATCTATAAGTTGATCGGAAATGTTTCTTACAGTAATAAAACAGATAATTATTTCCTTTCTGTAATTTTTAGACGATGGAACAACCTGCGATGTCGCGTTCTACACCTTCGATTGCATTTCTGATTTAATAGACGAATATTGCAAGCAAAATCCGTAGCAGCTTAATCTGTCTTTTTTATTATTAGCTATTACATTTTAGTACAAGTTTTAATTCTACACACTTACGTACCTTTGTAATTATGTATTGTAAATAATAATAAAAAATTGTTATTAAAAACTCACACTATTAGAATACGTATTTGTATTTATTTTTCCTCGGTGCCCAATTTAAAACGCTTCACTGCCACGCACGCACGCACGCATGCACGCACGTGTTTGTCACTTATTTCTAAAAAACAATAACGAAATAACGATCACGACTACTGTTTTTTAGACATGAAATAAATTTACTAATGATTATTGCAAGTGGACCATTTTAGATAGTACAAATCTACTCTAACGATAAGTAAAACAAACATGTAGGTAATAAGTACGTAATCATAATAAAAGCCGTGTAAATTTTACTGCGGCTTTTATTATCACGATTCCATTGCTGATTAGGTATTTCTTTCTTGTTTTGCTTATCTACGAATAATTGAAGATTGGTGGTACGTACCTATACAAGCATGGACACATAACTTTTCAGGTAGATACATAATACATAAATATATGTATGTTCATATTTGAAATCGCAATTCTGATTATCGACTTAAATATTTAAAGAAGCAAGTAAAATTGTTAAAAATTATACCGGATCGTTGTTGTTAGCATCAAAAATTACAAAAACGAGCTAGAATTGTTGGACCGTTAACAAGGACATCTTTGATCTTCACGCAAGGAAAAACAGGCAGCCTTCGCTTCGTCGCTGTCCTGTTTAAAACAGATTCATTTTTATTCAAAAACATCGTCTTATTGTTCCTTCTTAACACACCTCTCTTTATAAACAATACAAAAATACATAAAGCAAAAGTTGGCTCTAATTTTATCCCACTATTCGCATCTTTTATATTTCGTTTGGCATCAGGTATAAAAGCTGCGCCCAATTCGGTTTCTTAGTTTTTATAGATAGAAGACATGCAAGAGGATTTTTAATAACTTGTTTGTGTAAAATAGTTATGTATGTGAATTTTTTATACTAGTGAATTGTTTATAAATATATATACTTATAATTGTGCACCGTTTGATACGTCGGATACGATAAAAATGGGAAAGGTATTATTTGAATAACAGTTTATTTTTGCAATTATTACATTATACGTGCTACTTACCTTACATCTCTCTTCTCTTCTTTAGATTTCGTCAATATTTGTCATTGTATTTTTAACAATAATCGCTGTAAAATATGCACTGGCTGTCGACGATTATAATGTTTTATACAGAGATAGTTCCTTTGAGTTTGGATACGATACACCAGATTCTTATCATCACGGCAGAGGAAACAGAAATAATGTAGTTCATGGTGAATTTGGAGGTCGAAGTCCTTCTACAGGTAGGTGCAATGTGTTTGAAATGGATTTGCTCCCATATTGCGTATTGTATTTGCATTTTAACTCCAACTACTATATTTCAAAACAATCACATCTCCGATTAGGACATTTAGATTCTACACAGTATACAGCTGGACCAAGAGGCTACAGACCTCGAGGAAAAAATGTCGTAAGAAAGTACGATTTAAGTCAAAATGGCCCAAGATCAAGTGGCAGTAAGGACGACCCATATTTCGATGACAGTGAAGATCCAAGTTACAATTTTGGTTTTAAAACAAGGACTTACCAAAGACAAGAAGGTACCTACTTATACGTACATATGTACATACGTCTGTAATGATAACAGTAATCGGTACCGTTCTTATTTCAAGTTTCATTTCCCTTTCAGTATCGAATAACGTTGGGGATGTGACGGGGAAGTTTTCTTATATCGATGACGTTGGTGATCACCATAATGTCGACTTTGTAGCCGGTAAAAATACCGGTTTTCATGTAAAAACTCCATTCCCTGATTCGAACCCCAAAGCTTACGGGCCGTTGTTCTTTAAAGGAAGAGGAAAGCCCATTCCGAGGGGTAGAACATCGATTCAAAGACAATTGGACGGAAGTTACAGGTTCAGCAATAATAAAACGAAACGAAAAAATTACCATTATTTATTATGTTTGTTTAATTCAGGTTTGTTTCGGCCGGTCCAGATCAAAGAAGAACCGAAACGAGTGACTCATCCGGCCACGTTAGAGGTTCTTACACTTATTTGGACGACAAAGGCGTTCAACACACGGTACATTACATAGCTGGTCCCGAGACAGGATACAGAGTTCTTAAAACGGTTAAAGGACCCCATTTACCGAACATATTTCCCTTTGGAAGCCCCGAATACGTTCCACCAAATTTGTATAACGATTATTCAGAAGAAGTTTTCACCGCTTCTGAAAGCGGAAGGGTCAAACCGAAAGGAAACTTCGAAGGAATAAGCTCAACAAAGGACGAAAGCGGTTTTTCAAATCGGTTTGATAATAATTCAGGACAGAACACCTTTAATTCTGACTCGACATCAGGCAATGACGACTTCGGGGACATATTCGGAAAAGACGATAAATCAAAGAATAAACACTTGAGTAGACCGTTTACGTCTTCTTCTCAATCGTACAAAAATAATAATGACGGTGATTATGAAGAAGAAGAAGAAGACAATGGTTCGTACAATAAACCGTCTGGAGACGAAGGCCCTAACAAAGAAGACGACGATCAAGAAAATTGCTGTAACACTGGAAACTCTGGAATCAACGTTCAAATTAGCGGAACCAGAGAAGGTGCTATCGTTACGAACTCTGGTAAGAAAGTTTTATCTGTTCCTCCAGGAGTTTCTGTAAGGGCCCACGTGCAGGCCATTGATTTGATCCCTTTGAAACCAAAAGTACGCTCCCCCGGTGACGAACTGAAGGAAGAAGTCGACGGAAAATCGGACCAATTTGGAGCAGAATGAAATATAAGCAGATGAGAAAGCTTCACGAGGAGTTTTTACCTACTGCTATTGAAGAGAATATGTATAACAGACAATGCCGTCAGTCGATCGAAGCAGTAAATTAATTTTACGATTAAGTTATTTTATTTATTTTCAACTATGTACGTACGTAGTTCTGTGGTAGAGAGATGGAATAAAAATTTCTTTTTGTCAAACTCGCCAATTGTTTTATTTTTATCATCACACCTAAATAATGGGTAATAGCGATTTGCGTATTTATTTTTTCGTCATCATTTAATTTATTATTTACCCAGTTCAAGAGGCAAATGAAACTAATTTACTTTTTACACTTTAAGTGTTTTTATTATTATTTATTCTCATTTAATTTTTTTTAGCTGTTATAACTGTTATGCACATACATAGATATTTATACGTACGTTACGTATGTATGTATAATAATCCACCATATCACCATATTCAGTCCAATTTTCTTAATATTTTGTAAGATGATAATCCTTACAATGCTGGCAATGGAAAATATCCATAAAAATATGTGTACGCATGAGGATATCCACCTGGAAGAAAATAAACAGACGAGGAAGGTCTTTGTGAAGACGACTCGAACGTTGTTTCTAATTGTACGTGTTTCCCGTCTTGCTTTACAAATTCCTGTTTCTGATTGGGTTCCTAGAAATTAAAAAATAACCGTAGACAACGTAGTAAAAACTCCATAAGCATTACGTAATATGTAGGTACTTGTAATTAAATTTACCACTACTTGTGGGTTTATTAAAAACTTATTAGCCATCATAAAATCTGGAAAACGTGAATCAAACACGAATTTAGTTAAAAAACCGAGTTATTCTTACACGATAATAAATATAATTGTCGATTACTTACTGATGCACTACATTGTCTTTATCTTTAATTTTTACCTGTAGCTCATGATTAATAATAGGGTTGAACGTTTTAAGGGCCGGGACAATTTCGTTTTGGATAATTACTGGTTGGACAATGTCCGCTCCGATAGCCACTGCTCGATTTTCGTGAATTGAATAAGAATAATCTTTACCACTATTATCCGATTTCACATTAACAACTGAAGAATCCAAAGGAATGATCGAAGCTTCATTCGAAAAACAGCCGAGCATCGTACAAATACAAACAATCTAAAATTAAGTTTTACTTTAGTTACGTAAATAGGCACGTTTGGTCCAAAAAGAGTGATAGTTATTAATGTGTAGGTACTCATTCACTTACAATTCTTGTAAACATTATGTACCGTTGGCGATGAAAGCAGATCAAAAACTAATTCTTCGACGGTGTCTATTATCCCTTTATATTAAAATCTAATAAAAAAAGTCGAAATATATTTCTAAGTAAGAAACATGCACGAAGATAGAAGATGCATTTTCCAGCTGGATGCTGGATGCTGGATGGCCACGAATAATGCATGGATCCTTCTTTCCACCAAAAACCTTTGTGCAGTATTTCAAAACATATTTTTAAAACTATATATTAGTTTTATTTTAAAGTTACATACTTATGTGCAATATAGAAAAGTGTCGAATTTCTATCGCAAGTTTGTACTCTTTACGCACATATGTATGGCTATTACTTAAACAAATTTGGCTTGTAAGTAGAATTCTTATTAATCTTTAGCAATGGTTTGGTTTGCACCATTCTTTGTGTTATACTTGAATGTTAATATCGATTGTATCGATTTTAAAACGTGTAAGTACTATGTAAAAACGTGATCCGTTCGCCAATTTTGCACAGGAGGAATAGTAATCTGCCTTAAACAAGTACAACTTACATTTTTAATTAAAGTTACTGTTAAACATAAAAACAGCGTCCAGTAAATTAAAGGCTGAATAAAATTCTATTTGAGTAATTCAACTTTATTTCCCATTAATTAATAGGTAGCTAAATATCTGCCAGTCTATGTACAAAGTATGTAATAACTTCTAAAAGACAAAAACAAATGCGATTTTTTATACCCGTATAATTTCTCACAACAAGTTGTTCTTGAATAAGCGTTCAGGTTTTATTGTTATTATTGGTAAATGTCTTTTTTATTGGTAAGTAATGCTAACGTAGCTATCCTAAGTTTTCGCTAGTATTACAAGGAATTAATATGCCTCTCGCATGACAAGTTTCAAAGCTGAAACACATGCACCTAACTGTAATTATAAATATTAGGTACTAATTTTGTCACGAAAAAGTCAAAGAATACGACGTACCTACAAGCACTTTTAAGAAGAACGTTAACTAATTATTTTAAAGGCAATTAAAGAGGTACACGACATGGAGAAGAACAGAATCGTGTCGTTCTAAAAAAAAAAACCTTTTCAAATAGAATATGGAGGTAGACAGAGACGTGAAAAATTGTTGTTGTAATGTTTTCTATTTCAAATGTTTGTAAGCAATATCTTTTAGGAAACTGCATTCGAAATAGAAAATGTAGTGGTTATCTTTTAAATAGTTGTTAAAAAAATAGAAGAGGAGATCAAAAACCATTTAAATACAAATAGAAATTAATGTTTAGAAGACATTTAAAGATTTTTCTCCTTCATTTCGTATTTGCATTTTAAATTCCTAGACCTCTTTTGTTTGATAAAATTCCGATTTGAACGGTGCCATCGAGTTATTGCTGTATTGTACAATTCTCGACAACATAAAGGTATATTATACCTATTTTAACCAGAAAGGTTCGTTGGCATCAGAAGCAAAGTCAAGGTTTAAACGAGGAGAAGGCAAATATCTTTGTATCGGTAGCATAGCATAGCGAACTCTCACCTGACCGGTTCAATTAATGATCTTCTCATTTATAATAAGTTGTACCTACTGCACTTGGTACATTCTCATAGAGCGGTCGAATATAATAAAAAGTTAAGCGTCTCATCAGTCAGAATAAAAGTTTGTTGTTGTTTTCAAAATTATAATAATTAAGTCGCCAACTAACTGAGACAGGTTCTTCCGCGCTGGTTAGCGTTGGTCCTGGCGATTTTTCTTAGAAGAAATCGCCAGGACCATCGCTAACCGAAATCAACGGCGCTTACAAGCTTACGAGCACCGAACGTGGAAGTCTTGACATTTGTACTTCCAAGTTATAACAACCTATTCGTCTATTTTGTATCTATACATCGTATTTATTTATGCGTAAGTTGGAGCATTTTGTAAGTATTTTGAATTTTACAAGACCGGAATGTTTAATTAGTGGCCTTTACAAGAATGAGGTCACTTAATAAACCTACCCTGCAAGTAATACGCGAAAAAGAAATACATATAAGTACCTTTTTCTTTATTTGTCCTAGGTATGTAAAAGACTTGAGAGATTCGTAACTGACTTCAATTCGTTATAGTACATAACGGCTACCTTTTAATTTTCAATCAAATCATGTTTACGTACTGTTATCTAACGTACTTATTACCTATAGGATGCCTTTAGCTTGGGTCACGCATTATAACATATTAATAATGCATAATTTATTCGTTAAAAGTTTATTTACCATTCACTGCAGACGCGGCGTTAATTAGCCTTGAAATCATTATTTCATAATGTAATGCAAAGGTCCCAGTCCCAAGTACCTTTTCTGATACATGGAGACGAAAATGTTTGTTGAACCTGCAACAGAACCGAGAAACGAGAAGCTCCTTCAGTTATATGTTGGTTTAGACTTTAGACATAACATGGACATAACGTTCTTTGCCCCTTCTTCCACAGATAAATGTTAACTTAATAAGAGGCCGAGGTCCAATGTTACCGAGCTAGTTTTGCAGGGGTCCACCATCAAAAAAGTTTTCGAACGATCACGCACACCGTGCTGTCGACGGTCGATTTTACCTAATTGAACAATAGTTGCAAATAGTTGAAACAAAAAGAAATGAAAAGGGCTGCATTCTTTCTGGTACGTATTTATTTATTTATTTATTTGTTTGTTAATTTTATATTTTTTAATTGAGTTTAATTCACTTTTTCTACAAAGGTACATAACGTGTAAAGTTTAAATAATATACCTACAGTATAAGTATACAGTATCCTTTCCGTCTTTGTAGTGTATGTAGCCTTTATTCAAATAACATCCTCTTTCGGTCATCGACTTCTCTTATAACTCTAACTGTTGTTCAACATCTTCAATACATATTTATGTATGTACTATTAAACATGCGAAAAAATTCAACTAAAATTTTACAACTATTCCTATACAGTACATATAATTTTATTGCACAGGTACTTGCATATAGTATGTACGTTATTTAATTACAGTAATCGCCAATTAGATTTTTTATACATAGTTTTATTCTCTTTTTAACAGATTTATTGTTTGGCTGTAATAAATGCTAGACCAGAAGAAACAAAGATTAAGGCATCTGATGTTGAAAACGTAGAGTAAGTAAAATTAAAGGTTTTCCTAGCTAATAATTAATTTTTTATGTGCATATACGCACCTCCTTCCTGATTGCCTTCTTGTTTTGTTAAATAATTCAAATGCATGAAACGTTTTTGGAATTGTAAATATGTATGCAGAAACACTTATAAATTATAAGTATTTATGCTTATATTTGACTTGAAATATTAAATAGTACAATCAAACTTACCCTTAAAATTATAGGCAAAACAAAACAAATAATATGAGAAAAATCAAACATTATAGTAACAGTTCCTCTC